CAAGACCTGTCAGGAGTAAATTCAGATCCCATGGGGGTACCGGCGGGCATGTATAGGGGAACAACCTGCCCACCCCTTCAAGGAAGCGCTTCACCATCACATTTGCAAACACTGTCCTATCTCCCTCCCCCAGGTGAAAAGCTGCAATCGTGGCCAGATGAACCCTCAGGGAAGACAAAGAGAGGCCCTGGTGTCTGAGGTGTAGGAGGTAGTCCAAAAAGAGAGGTATGGGGGCCCCCCCTGACTATGTGGCCCACAGGGAGAAATGTTTCCACTTTGCTGCATATACAGCCCTAGTGGAGGGCTTCCTGCTCTCCAAAAGGACCCTCCTCACTGCCTCAGAACACAGGAGTTCAGGGCCCACTAACCACAAAGGTTCCATGCTGTGAGGTGGAGGAATGACAGGTTCAGGTGGAATAACTGCCCCTCCCCAAGTTCTGAGTGATCAAATCGGGTACCGCCAGCAGCACCAAAGGTTCTAAGTCCAGGAGAGTGGGAAACCAGTACTGGCAGGGTCACTCTAGTGCTACCACTATAACCGAAGCCTTGAACTTCCTGACCCTGAAGAGGACCTTGTGCATTAGTGGGAAAGGGGGACAATGAGTCTAGGAGTTGGTGAGGCCACTGTGCCTGCAGAGTATCCCCCTAGGACTCCACCCCTTGGCCCAGCAACATCTTGGGCATTTGCTATTCTCCTGGGAAGTGAACAGGTCCAGACAGGGATAACCCCACCTCTGGAAGACTAGCTTCAGAATGTGACTACCACATCCAACAGGACATGCACTGGATAGTGCACTCTCACCAACCATGTCTGGAGAGGCCAAAGCCACAGTTTGGCATGTTGCACCACATAGGTGCAGGCTGCCATGTGACCCAGCAGTTTCATGCACGTCCTTGCTGTCATGAGGGGTGAAGACTTGAGACCATCGATTACATCTCTTATAGCCATGAATCTGGCCCTAGGGAGGGAAGTCCTTGCCAAGGTGGAGTCTAGGTGAGCCTGGACAAAGTCTATTATTTGAGTGAGACCCAGCTTATGGAACAGAGCCCTGACAATGTCTACGTGGCCCATAACCTGTTTCCTGGATGAACGCCTGATCAGCCCATCATCTAGGTAAGGAAATACTAAAACCCTGCACCTCCTCAAAAAAGCTTCCACAGATGCCATGTATTTGGTGAAGACTCATAGAAAGGCCAAACAGGCAGACCACAAACTGAAAGTGATTTTGGCCTACTGTGAACCTCAGCAATCTCCTGTGTGGTGGGATCACTGAGATGTGGAAGTATGCATCCTTCAAATCAAGGACAGCATACCAGTCTCCTTTCTCGAGGGAAGGGATGATGGCAGCTAGGGTAACCATCCTGAACTTTGCTTTCTTTATGAACATTAGGGGCCTTAGATCCAGGATAGGCTGAAGACCTCCTTTGGATGAGGAAATAAATAAATACAATCCTATGAATAAAACCCTCTCCCCTTGAACTCCTCTGGAACAGGCTCGACCACCCTCATATGCAGCAGTGAAGGCACTTCCTGACTTAAGAGCTGCTTGTGAGGGGTCCCTGAAGAGGGACAGGGAAGGAGGGGATAAGGAGAGGAAAGGGATAGCATATCCACTTTCCATCAAGCCTAGTACCCAACGAAGGTAGAGATGGGAGAGCCCGCACCCAAAGGGAGGCATTATCATGGAGACTGGAACCCTGTCCTCGGGCACAACTTCAAAATGAGGACTTTGGCTTCTTATTAGGGGGAAGGGTGGGTTCTCATTCAGAGTCCAACCTCAGTCCCTTATGCCTGTTTATGCCATTATTATTGCTGTTATTTCTATCCCTCCTTCTGCCCCTGTCAGTCCTGAATCCCTGCTGGAAGGATTTCAGTGCTGGTCCAGGGTTCAGTGGCCTCTTCTGGGGAGCTGCGGTGTGGACACCCAAAGACTTCAGGGACACTCTGGAATCTTTAAGGCTACGCAGCCTAAAGTCTGTCTGGTCTGAGAAAAGACCAGACTCCTCAAATGGGAGGTCCTGTAAGGTGTTTTGGACTTCAGGTGAAATGCCCGAGACCTGAAGCCATGCACTCTGCCTCATTACAACAGCTATAGCCATTGTATGAGCTGCAGTGTCCACAGCATCCAAAGCTGCTTACAGTGCCATGCAGAAGACCACTTCGCCTTCTTCTGACAAGGTCCCAAACTCCTGACTAGACTCCGGCAGAAGGAGGTCCTTAAACTTATCCATGGCTGACCATGTGTTATACGCATATCTGCTCAACATCTCCTGCTGACTGGCGATATGCAACTGCAGACTCTTTTCTCCCTCTTCCACAATGGCATAGGCCATCCTGCCTAGCAGGTACAATTTTTTCAGGTCCTTGCTCTTTGGCATAGGTCCAGGCAGACCCTGCCTCTCCTTCTGGACAGCAGCCTGGACCAGCAGGGAGCCTGGGGTCAGATGGACAAAAAGGGACGAAACAGCACCTCTCCGCTCCTTTTTGGGTGGAATAGAGGCAGGCATTTGCCACGGTGTTTTTGAAATCTTTGCCACCATCTTATTAAGTAGCAAAGCTACCTGGAAGGAACATCTGCTGTCAGGAATATCTACCATCAGGTCCAATTCCTCTGGGATCTCTGCTTTCGCACCCAAATTGGCTGCAAGGCATTGGAGGTGGTGTGCCCTGGCATCCATCGTTGGCAGCAGGTTACAGGGTCAGCCAATGCCTCATCTGGCGACAAGGAGGAAAATTCCCTGACTAACAGCTGATCGCAAGGCACCTCCACCATCTGCGGCGGGAGGGAACGCATTTGGGGACAGAGTCTGGGGCGGGTTACCATTCCCCTCCCCCAGAGGTCTCACCACCTCTTTATAAGAGGGTTT